GGACATGGGTAATGAAACTTTGAGTTTCTTAAAATAATGCGAAATTCTGATTGGTGACTTCTTATAAAAGATTCAACTCCATGGAGTTAGTGAGTGATGCCGATTTCAATTTTTGACACAAATATTTTCTAATTACGTCACAGTTCTTACGTAGTATTCTGAGGCAAAAATTCTGTACTTGTTTCATTCTTCACTTTTCCCCTTTCCCCTCATAATTACATCAATAAAACGCGAGAGAACGTCATTTCCTTAGGGAATTAAATTGTATTCGCATTTAAATAACGAGAATATATAAAGTTGCATAATACATGACACACATAAGGTCGTATTTCTTGCATGCAAAAAAGCAGGGGAAATTGTACGTATTATAATTTTGTTATTGTCATTTTTATCGCCACCCAATTCAGTCAAAGAGCTTCTGCCGTTCGTATTATCGTCATCATCATCATCAGTAATCTGTCAAGACGACAGGTCCACAGTCTCTTTCAAAACAATTCCTCCACTTAATGCGATCTAGAGCTTTCTCCTTCAAATGACAGTATCCTCTTCTGTCCCCAAGGTCATCCAGCATCTTCTTACGTCTTCTTCCTCGTTTTCTTGTCACTTCTATCCGCCCATCTATCTTTCCTTCGATAGCTTCTTTTAGAAGGCAGTTTCTGCGTAAAACCTTACCAATCCAATTAGCCTTCCGTTTTCATATTATCGTAGAAAGTGAAAATCCACTGCGATGTCTTAAGCTTCTTCCTCCTCTTAGTCTACACGGCACCGTATATCCAATCAAGCCTGTTCCGTCTTCGTATAATCGTTCCATCATTTTCAGGTTCTTCCATGGTGTCTTCTCCCCTAATGTTTATATTAATATTACTCAAATGGCGTTCCACATAAACCCGCGGTTTCACGAAGTGAAAATAGGGTTTCCGAAAGAAAATTTCAGTATAATGTAAAAAATTATAACTGTATTATAAACTTGAATTCAAAGGTTTTTTTTTTTTATTTTAGAACAAATTCTTGTACGAAGCGTAGTTGGTTGAGAGGCTATGCTACAAGCCGGAAGGTCGTGGTTTCAAACCCCGATGTCACTAAATTTTTTTCAATTGACCTAATCCTTCCAGCCGCATTATGGTCCTGGGGTCGACTCAGCCTCTAACAGAAATGAGTACCAGGAATTAATTAAATAATTTTCCTTGGGAGTAAAGCGCGGCCGGCGCGTAAGGCTGACAACCTTAACGCCATCTTTGAGCCGACTGTCTAGATAATGTGGGACCCTCAACGTCTCACAACCCTATGGGCCTTCACGGCCTGTTACGGGGTTAGCTTTACTTTTTTTTTTTTTTACTATCTAGAAAACCGAAATTAACGGCCGTGGGGATTCGTTGCGCTGACCACGCGACATCCTCTATCCGCTAAAGTTAGCACTAACTTCGCCGACAAGCGGCGGTCGCTCAGTCGGTATAGTTCGCTTGCGGACTACAGGCCAGGGGGTTTTATACGAAACAGGATTTTCGAATCATGTAACAACAAAAAGTGGAACTGAAGTAGAGAAACAGGCAAATGCGGCTTTGGGTCTAAGTTTTCAGTTTTCCAATATCAAGCAAATATAGAAGGAAGTGTACGAGGAGGAAAGACCACAATTTTTATTTCTGAGACCTGTAAACGTACGGAACAGCAGTAACCTACCTGCTTAATGCAAATTTTTGTTCGGCTTCTCCTTTCGAACCTGAAGATGGAGGAAATGTTCGCCTCCCAAACATCCCTTGATTTTCAAAGGTTTACAATGACTTATATTCCAAAAGGTAGAGCTTTTCAGAAGAAAATATACCGCTGTGAGAACCCCAAATTCTACATTGCAAAACTTCGTTTTCGAAAAATGTTTAAATTCATTTTGAGTTTTAGCACCTGGACCTATACGGACCGAAATTAAAATCATCCATAAAATTTAATGGAAATCCTTTCGAATTTTCGTAAAGAAACCTTCATACAGACAGACAGACAGACAGACAGACGGAGAAGCGTCCGTCTCATTATGTTTTATTTTATGCGACAATTCTTTCCATATATCCCTTTTTGCCTCCAACTCTTCACTTTCAGTTCTCGTAAATCAATCTCGACATCTTCCAACCATTTCAATTTAAGCGTTCTCATTTTTTCTACTTTCTGTTCATAATTCCAGTTTAGCTGACTTCGTTTATCATCTCTCCCGAATTAACTGAACGCAATCCAGCTAACAAGAACTGTCCACCGTCTGCATTGGTACTTTCACATTTACCGTTTGTTTTTACTTTCGATACAAATATTTCAGCGCGTTGTCATCATTAGACTCTATTGTCTACCTACACATTCGCACTAAATATCGTATTTTGTTGTCAATTATTATAAAATTAATAAACACGAAAATGGATGTATGCTTATGGATGCTTATGTATGCTTATGGATTATGCAGGAAAATTTAATTGCCGTAATCGGGCCGCTGAGAGCAAGATAAATTGATAAAAAAGTAAAGGTATCCCTGTAAACAGGCCCTGGAGGCCCGTAGGGATGTAAGACGTTAAGGATCCCACATTTTCTAAAAAAAAATCGACGCATAGATGGTAGTGAGATTGTTTGTCTTAAGCTCCGGCCACCGTTTACTCCCCAGGAATATCCTGGTACTCATTTCTGTTAGAGGCTGAGTCGACCCCAGGGCCATAGTGAGGCTGGAAAGATTAGGTCAATTGAAAAATTCAATGATTTCATCTGAAATCGAACCCGCGACGTTCCTACTTGTAGCACAGTGCCACAACCAACGACGCTACCGCGCGCCGCTGTGATTAGTTAATAACATGAACAAAAGCTGCTCCTCAAGTTACAATGGACAAGACACGTACCTTGAATAGAGGAGATAACACAAGAAATGCATACAGAAATTTGACGGATACACTTCTTCGAAAACGTGACCTGGGAAATCTCTGAGAGATTGTCATGGAAATAAAATTTATTATGACAGACTGGTTTAACGATAAGTAAATTACGAAATTTGGTATCAGCAGAGTTGAATCTTTGGTTAGCCGGATAGTCAGTCACTGTACCAGACATTTAAACATTTGTGTGAATACGTATTTTATGGTGCAATTGCAAGAGTCTCTCTTCTCCGTATCGTCCAGATCGGCTATGGGACCCAACCAGCCTCCTACCCAATGGGCAACGGGAGCTTTTTTCCTGGGGGTAAAATGGCAGGGGCGTGAAGCTGACCACTCACCTCCAGCTAGTGCCGAGGTCAAGAAAATGTAGATCTGTACATCCATTCCCCCCATACGCCTTCATGGAGTAGTGCTTAATTATTTAAGCACAGGGAGAACTTACCTTTCTTTACCATAAAACTTATCCCACACACAGGCTGCTTAATGGCGCCTCAAGAAAACGAAATTTGACATCAGAGGATCGACTACGATATTGTTGTAAGTACGTCACATGTAGGAGCCAAAAGCTGAATATTGCAATAGCCAAAATTATATATATATTTAACAATTTATATACTTTTTGATTGTAAACTGTGATACCAGAACGTTAAACAATTACCGTGGCTCTTCTCCATTGGCACGTGTAATTAATCAGGGACACGAAACGCAATGTTTAGATTGTGATATGAGTGGGTGCCTGATACCGGGAACGGAAAGCTGATATGGGTCCGAATTAGGGGCATAATTATATATCCCGTCATTAATATTGAAGAATCGAGCGTTTGCATGAAGGTGGCGTTGTTTACAACTTCACTACCACTCCATGTTCTGTACACTCCATTCGCGATGTCTGCGGAGCAAACGTAAACAGAGGCCGGGCAGGCGGGGGGGGGGGNGGCGGGGGGAGCTGCAGAAGAGCAGTTCACGCGATGCCTTATGTATCTTACGGGAGACACAGAGGCGGATAAACTTACAGGTAATCAGATAGAATGTCAGATAAACAGCTAGGCAAAGCGAGACACGAACACACAAACATAAAAAAGGTGAAGCTATCCCTGTAACAGGCTGTGGAGGCCCATAAGGTAGTGACACGCCGAGCCTCTCACATTTTATACAGAGTCGGCTAACAGATGGCGGTGAAGTTGTCAGCCTCACGCGCCGGCCGCCCTTTACTTCCCAGAAAGATTCTGGTAATCGTTTCTGTTAGAGGCTGAGTCGATCCCGGGACCGGAAGAATAAGATCAATTGAAAAATTCAATTACCTCATAGGGAATCGAACCTGTTACATCCTGACGGATGTACCCTCAGGAGGTTCTCAGAACTAAACACCCTCTAATGAAAACCAGGCCGGAAAGAGATCCATGCGTCTGCAGCATTCCCTGTCTCTGTAATATACATTTTAATATTGTCCACCCACATACGTCTTGGTCTTCCCAGTGGTCTCTTTCCTTCTGACTTCCCTACCAATATCCTATATGCGTTAGTATCCAGTCATAAACTTTTTTACTCACAGACAGTTTGGCCAAATTTATGAAGAAAATATATTTATCTGACGGAATCGTGTCTTTATTAATTATTCAAGAAGAAATATGAAATAATTCTTTGTGCAAACCCTGACAAGACCGTCTGTATCCAGTGTATCAATACAGACAATGTTTACATTTCACTGCACGCTTCACTGCAGATTAACATTAAATTAATATACAATCCTTCCGCCAATGCGATGGATTTCCTCAGTTGAACTTCGCCAAAAATGCCTAATAAGAGGTGAAAATAGCTGGAATACTGAATCTAATTTCCATTGAAATGTCAGCAAAATCAGATAATCATGTATCATATAAACAGGCGTAAATATGCCGTAATACAAACTCACTGAACGAAATAAAAAGATGACCATGCGCTAAGTAAATCATAACACAACTGAGGAAATGCAACTGAAATAAAAATTGGGCCTGTGAACAAGTAGACCCTGAAACAGACGTACGAAACTCCTGTTGCTTGTTGAGATATAATGCGAAAGAAACACGAACAAGAGTAAAAGTTGGATAATTGCCACCGACTTACCAGTTTCAATCGAGGGCGTGTCCAGATGCCCATTTCCTATTATTTACTTCTCTAGCATTTCAGGTTTCGCCTCGAGAGTTATAACTGCATGTCCTTCTGTCAGTATTTATGCCTGTGAGAGAGAAGAAATAATTAATTAACTTTATATGTTGAAATTTCTTTTCAATCAATTATTGTAGCAAAGAAAATGTTGTAAACAAATATCTGAAACGGGTTGACCTATGGAATTAATCGCTTCAAACATGCGAAGTAAAATCATTGCGAAAGCAGGTTACGGTAACCATGGAAATGTAATATCTACATAGCAACGAGCATTGAAATGCTAGCCGTGTGATCAATATCCATTTGTCAGTCGATTTAACATTGTAAGGTGAAGTGTTTTTAATCTCTATACGGAAAAGACGCATTATGTGTGGATTGCTATGCTTTCCTTCTATATTATGCTCTGTTCGGGACAGAATCTTTAATGAATATTTGCTTCGGAAATTTAATAACATTAAGGTATCGTGTTGCAACCTAGGGTGGAATTTGTTTTTTCAGAATTAAGCAAACGTACAAGCATCAGTTAGGCTGTGCCATAGCTCAAGTGGTTAGTCGTTGGTTTCCACCGCGGCGGCCCGGGTTAAATCCCGGGTCTGGTGAAGTGGGATTGGTGGTGGACAAAGTGGAGCTGTGGCAGGTTTTCTCCGAGTACTTCGGTTTCCCTTGTCAATTTTCATTCCACCAATTGCTCCACAATCACCCTCACCTATCATCTGGGGCTGGTACAATAGGCCAGAAGTGGCCGCAGTACAAGGGACTTAGTCCCACCCACTAGCAATAAAAAAAAATAAGTTAAAAATTAAGGGGAATGATGAATACGGAATGCGAAGAGGATTATTATTATAATAAAATTATTATAACGCCGCTTGTTTTGTGAGATCTGTTCATACAAGCCTATTTGTGGAGGATGTCTCCAAACTTTGGGAACAGGTTCCTAGAAAAGAAATATTGGAACTAGGCAGACGGCGTCTGTCCAGTTTCAGCCCCTGATCACAACTTCCAGAAGAAACGGCGTTTGTTTGGAGTGAGCTTTACAAATCCTGCAAAGTAAAGGCAGTATGTAGATATGTTCGTTAATCACATCTTTATTACTTACTTACTCTTGGAGCTGAGCCCATCTTAAGGAGCCGCCAATTCTGCAGCTACTCAAGAATTTCCCAGCATTTTATAGATTAGCGAAGTTTACTGTATTTTATAAGGGCATGTTCATTTACCATCAAAAATTTGCACGCCTGAAGACCACGGTCTTCTGTGATATGACGTCGCGAAGAGTCGTATAGAGACACTAACATTTCAGAATCAGTCGTTGCTTCCCTCTTCACGGAAGACTTTAACGACAGAAGCGAGGCAGACTACTTCGAAATATGTAAGATTTGAGGCTTTCACGGCGGTGACTATGAAGAAAGCAGTCTTCTGGGATTTGGCACCGTGTATATGGGGTGTTAACCGACATTTCGGAGGAACGTATCGCCTCCATCTTCAGGGTAGAAGGAAAAATATAAGAAATACGCAAGCGAAGAGACCGTGAGAAACGGTCTGCTTTTACCGGTTCTCACGGTCTCTTCGCTTGCGGATTTCTAATATTTTTCCTTCTACCCTGAAGGTTAACACCACATATACACGGTGCCAAATCCCAGAAGACTGCTTTCTTCATACTTCGAAATATTTTCATCTTTCATAAATACGCGGCATCAGTTTCGAGGTAACGTTTATATTCACCGCCGTGAAGGAGAGACGAGCTCTGATGCTCATTTCTTGGTCAGAGAGTTCGAGGCCCTAAACGCAAGCCCTCACTTCACGATTGTTCAACGACGTCAGAGGCTGTAGGTGACGCTATGCTGCCTATTCGTGCACGGACAGTCACCGTAGATGATTTAATGACGATCATTAATAACCACGATTGTAAAGTTATCTGCTTACGGATGATTGAAATAGAAGGGCAAGGAAGAACATTGTCGCCTTATAGGCTAATGTGTAAACCAGGCCGCAGAGGCTCATAGGTCTATGAGACATCTAGGATCACACATTTTCAAGATGCCGGCAAGGTTGTCAGCCTTACGTGCTGACCCCCCTTTACCCTAGGAAGGTTCATGGTAATCATTTCTATTAGAGGCTGGCTGGAAGGATTAGGTCAAAGGAAAAATCCAAAAGGCTCATCTGAAATCGAACCCGCGACTTTCCGGCTTGTAGCATAAGGCCTAAACCAACTATGCTACAACATACCCGAACAATTATCTGTGTTATTTAAACTAATTATAAGTCACGTAATTATGCCACTACAATTACAACCAAGCTAGTGACAGTTACACTATCTGGGATATGTACTGTCACCGACCGCTCGAACACTAGGATCGTGTATTCGAATCGCACTCGAAATGTGAATATATATCTGCATTTTCTCTGTGTTTGTGTTGTCCTGCGTCGGGCCGATCCCCCGTTCAAGCAGACTTATAAATCTATAAGCAAAACTCCGACATCAGGAAAACTAAAGGCCTTGCATCTCATTGGTCTGCTGTACTATATAAGGAAAAGAAGAAAAGTGAGGAATAACTAGATTTGGCACGCTAAGTAGATTTATAACTGCAAGGTTAAGATTTGCTATTCTGCTGCATATTAGCGAGTAATTTTGAGCAGGTGTAGTTTATTTTGTGCAGGTATTGCGGTCTCCACACTTGTCGAAAGTTTTCATACAGACAACGAAGAATTAATTGTATAATGATATTCTATCGAGTTTAGTATCTTAACCTTTTAAAAGCTTTTTGTCACTATGTTCTGCGTGCCACCTGCTTCAACGTACTAAAAATCTGCATTCTGCTCACAAAGTGTATTTGTATGTGCTTCGTATGTTTCTCACAACAAACAGCGACAGTTTTGGGGATTACTGGGTCTGTGGACCCTGTCCGTCGTCCGGTATTCTAAGGAACACAAAGTTTGTAAAACTTGATATGTTTCTATCCTCAAATGAGATACATCTACTCTCTTCTCCTAAACATCATCAATGGGGTCACCGCTGCAGAGGTATAATATGTTTCCTGTGAGGTACGAACACCTCCACCGTAGCCCTGCGAGTCGTAGGGAAAGGAAAGGAAGTCTTGTGCCTGGGGGTATAACCGGGCCACTCTCTTCCTGGGGGCATATTAATACGGGGACCTGGCCCTCCAAGTTGGTGTAGTCTCGAGTCTGAGACAGTAAAATGTGGTGATGAGTCCCACGGGACTCGGATCTGAAAATGACTGCGCTGACGAAGTTCAGCAACAATTGTAAACGACAGATCCATCCTTTCGTAAGAGAGAATGTTACGTAAGGACTATAATCGCGAGTGTTCAGTTGGGAAATAAAATTACTGGTCGTGAGTCTCAAGGGGTGAAGAAAAAGGAATCCAGTGCCTGGGGTTATAACCGAACCACACTGTTCCTGGGGGATATAAATACAGGGACCTGGTCCTGTGGGTTGGTGTGGTCTCGAGTCTGAGACAGTGAAATGTGGTTATGAGTCCCACGGGACTCGGACCTGAGAGTAACTGCCCTGGCGAGGGTCAGCAGCAATTGTAAAGGATATATCTATCCTCTCGTCAGAGAGGATGTTACGTAAGAACTATAATCGTAAGAGCTCATTTGGAAAATAAAACTACTGGTCGTGAGTCTCAAAGGGCTTGCGGGAATACGAGATGATTGCGATAAATAGCAGTCGTAAAGTAATTCTGACTTTCACTGACAGTTTTTAAAGTGTTAACACAAATGTAAATTCCATGACAAAAATTTTCAAATTATTGATGTTAGGCGCATTTGACGAAGCCTGTGTATCACAATTGCAAGCGGACTAAGTAATATATTATGGGCCAATATATGAAAATGGGCATTTTCCAGTATAACCGTTGTGTTGTATAACATGTGATTGTTTGAAGTATGAAATTATATGCGGAGTTATGAAAGAATAGAGCATGTCGAAGGGAGAATAAATATGAATACAGGAAGCATAATGTCGTCACTCATTATATCAACACACACATCAAATGGTTTATCAGTTTACGCATCAAACACTGCGCTAGCGAAAAAAAAAGTGAAGGCATGGACTTTCCATTTGTTTCCCAATTCATCACTGTCTATAATTCCTGAAGCTAAATGCTATGAACTAATTGAGGTCGTATTTTATTCTTTGACGCCAGAATGATTTACAGAGGAAACTTTCACACAAAGGCTAGCCAGTAATTTATAGGGGTCATCTTGAAACATTGATAAGTGCTCCCATTTCAAACTGTTATGTTCTGGAACAGAAACAATTTCTAACAATTCACAGATTTTATGGCATGCTGCATTTGCTGCTAATGACGGCACAGGCGCTCAGCGGTTCACATGCGTTACAGCCTTTCATTGCACTAATTGGTTTCCTTAACAGGATGTCTCTATCTCTCTCTCTCTCTACTTTCAACGCATGCTTTTCAGGCTTTCACAGAAAAGTGTCGACTGGTTAAATCACAGACACTAAATGCCACGTATTTTGACAGCCGAAATTTTACAAGATATGTCAGCAAAGCGACCGCTTCTGTGGTTAATTGTCAGAGTTCCTGGCTACAGATCCAGAGGTCCGGGTTCGATTCCTGCAGCTATCAGATTTTCTGAGAAGTAGTGTGTCTGGTACAGGGTCCACTCAGCCTCGTGAGGATAATTGAGGAGCTACTTGATTGGAAAAGTCTAGGAAACTGAAATTAACGGCCGTGGGGATTCGCTGCGCTGACCATGCGACACCCTCTATCCGCTAAAGTTAGCACTAAATTCGTAGACAAGCGGCGGTCGCTCGGTCGGTATAGTTCTCCTGCGGACTCAAACCACGAAGTTTGGTTTTTTGTGTTACCAAAGTAATGAGATTAATTTTGTACAAAATAATTTATTCCATATTTCGTCTAAATAAACATAGCCCCATTCAAAATAATATCCCTCCGATGCAACACACAGGTCCCAGCGAAATTTCCACTCCTCATTTCAGGACTGGAAGTCAGCTTCTGTTTGGGTCCTCATGGCGTCGGTGACAGCCTTCTG